TGTGGTAATATATCATTTTCTGTAAGTCCTTCGTACAGCTAATGCATAGATCTGGGGATTTACAAACACTCCTCATGGGGGCAGTATTGCCTTTGTTATGGGTGTTTGGTCCTGTTTTGATTTGCGAAGCTTAGGAGGACCAGGAATGTAGGTAAGAGTTCACAGTGCACAGCCGAGCCATTCCCATGGGACCCTTCGTGCCTGTATATTCTCACGGGACTTTCCACAGCTGCATATTTTCATTCGGTTGAGGTCATTGTTTTGATTCTGTACTTTGATTTCTTTCTTAATAAAAGCTGGTACCTGGGTTTCCTCAGGGCTGGCATTTGCTCAGACGGTTCCCTGCGTCTCATTTCAAGTGCCAGACCACCACAAAGAATGTTAGTTTAGCAATATCAAATATAACAACAAATGTAAACCATGATATATGGGTAGCTGATAGTGGAGCTTCGCAGTGTATAACTAAAAGTAAAGAGAGGTTTGTTAACATGAGAAAGAGTAAACAGCATATATCATTAGCAAATGGATGGAAAATGAAAGCATATGGAGAAGGTACTGCATATTGTTCATGTATAAATGAAAGTTTACTGATGTTATATGTACCTGGAATGAAGTTTAATTTGCTATCTGTAAGAGAAATGGAAAAAGCAGGATTTGTAGTAACATTTAAGGGAGATACATGTTTAATACACAAACAAGGTAAAAGTATTACTGCAAGATTGGAAAATGGTTTTGTTGAGGTAATTCCCCATTAGGAGAATGAGTGCACACAGGGAGACGTAGTGAGAGTGGTGAAGAATAACACACAAACAGCACACAGATACACTGTACAGTAAATGTAGGTTTTTACTTCCAATAAACGTTTAAGCAAAGTCCAAACAGGCAGTCCAAAGTCATTCACAGGTAAGGCAGTCAGTGTTCAGTTCAGGGATAATCCAAATATCAAAGTCCAGTATAAAAAAAAAAACAGTTCAGTAACAGACTAACATCAATGATCAGTAACAGTCATTAGAAGGAACGACAAAACTCTCCAACAGAAGGAAACAGAGACTCACTTCTGAGACAAAACAATCCAGGTTTCTGGCTCCATCTTATGGCCATTTGCGGAAACACACCCAATTACAGTTTTAGCATTTTCTTAAAGATACAGCATTAAAATGTCTATCCTAGTTTATATATTTCCAACCCAAATAACTGTTAGGTGACTTACATTCCTAACATTCTCCCCTTTTGGGTAGGAGAATATATACAACCTTACATTCTAAGTCCATAATCCTCGCAGCAAGCCTTATGCTTTATAGAGCCTTGGGCCTTTGTAAAATGATCTGCTATATTGTTTTCTGACATACAGTATTCCAGCTTAATCATCTTACTTTGCACACATTGTCTCACATTTAAACATCTCAAATCTGTGTGTTTCGTTCTTGTTTTAACATCTATATTTGAAGCCATCTGTATTGCTGATTGGTTATCTTCATAAATAACAATAGGATCTGTTACATTAATTCCCATATCAATTAATAATTGCTTATACAAAACTAAATCTGTACATAATAAAGACAAACATGAGAATTCAGCCTCCATTGTTGACAAACTCAGATGTTTCTGTCTTATAGATCTCCATCCAATCAATGCTTTTCCCAATAATACTACAGTACCCGATGTAGATTTTCGTGTATTTATGTCTGTAGCAAAACTTGCATCAGCATATGGAGTCAAATTCAGTTCATCTTTAGGCTCCAAATACAATGCATAATGCATTGTTTGTTTCAGATATCTTAACACGTTTAGCAGCTTGCCAGTGCCTTTCAGTCGACCCAGCATTAAATCTCGCTAATTGGTTAACACTGTATGCAATATCTGGCCTTGACCAATTACTGAGATAAGATAAACTACCAATCAAGGACTGATAAATGTTCTTATCAAAAATAGGACTTTGAACATCACTATGGCTAAACTTCTGGCTCATTGGTGTTTTAGCCAGTTTACAAAGTTCCATATTAAAACTTTTTAGTAATTGGTTAATTTTATCTGCCTGTGAGCTCTTGTATCCTCCCCTAGTTCTTTCTATCTTTAAACCAAGATATTGTTTGATTTCTCCTAACTGTTTTATCTTAAATTTCTGTTCTAACAGTGAAATTATTTTAGTAGCTTCTTGTTCAGTTTTGGTGATTAATGCTATGTCATCAGTAAATAATAGCAACAATGAAATTATACCATTACTTTCTCTTTTGAACAAACAGCATGGATCAGCCATGCCAGCTACAAAGCCTATCTTAGTTAATTCTTTAACTATACATTGGTTCCACTCATATCCTGATTGCTTCAAACCATAAAGACTCTTTTTCAATCTCCAGCAATCAGTTGTATTATCATTTTTAACACCTAAAGGTTTCTTTAAATAAATACTGTGTTGCAACAGTACATGCAGATATGCTGTTTCTACATCCAAATGATTTATAATGTATTTCTCTTTAGCTGCCCACACTAATGCTGCTCTTAATGTAGTAGCCTTCAGACTAGGTGCAAACACCTCATCGTAGTCATTTGCTGTCTGATTGAACCCTTGTGCTACTAACCTGGCTTTATGGGTAACAGTCCCATCTACACCTGTCTTTAGCTTATATATCCATTTACATCTTATGGCATGTTTACCTGGTGGTAACTTAACGTTTTCGTATACCTCCAGTTTTTTTAATGATACCAGTTCTTTATCCATTGCTTCCTGCCAAGCAGCCTGATCCTTAGCAGGATACAGTTTCAGTTCATTATAATTACTTGGAACTGTATTCACTTGGCATACAACACTAGCCTGATATCTATCAGGTGGTCGTGTTACCTGGGTTGAACGTCTTGGTATTACAGGGCTTACTGGTGGACTCACCTGTGCCACCTGCTCCTGTTCTTCTATTTCTTCCTGTGCCTGTTCTACTACTTCCTCATGTTCTTCCTCTTTAATGGCTATTTGTGGTTTACTTATTTTATCTTTAGGGACTATTTGGGTGTCAATAATAATATCATTGCTGGATTCCTGTTCCAGTTTATCCTTCCCAACATGCTCAAGAAATTTTGCACTAGCACTACAATAAACATGAGCTGTGCCTTGATCCCAGAATCTAAATGATCTATGGTTGGCCTCTTAACCTACAAAAAATAACTTCTTAGCTCTATGTTGCCCGTTCAGTCTTACTTGTGAGGGAATATGCACCCATGCTGGAGCTCCAAATGTATGTAAGTAACTTACATTTGGTTTTCTGCCATGCCAACGAGTGAATGGCAATTCTCCAATTGTTGTATTAACTACATTGTTTAAAACATGGTTACTACACATTATGGCCTCACCCCAGTGTTTCAGGTAAACCTGAGTCAGATAACATAGTGTGAGCCATGGCTTGTAATGTTTGCCCTCTTTTTCTACAAACGAGTTATGTTGTGGTCTGTAAGGTGCAGAATGTTTATGCTCAACACCAGCCAATTTTTAACATAGTTTGGAATCTTTTGTTAACAAACTCAGTCCCATTATCAGTAACTAAAGTAATTAGTTTACTCTTCATTTTTCTCTCTGCAACCCTTAGCCAGTTAAAGAAATGTTGGAATGTTTCTGTTTTGTTTTTCATGAGATAGCAGAAACCGTATCATGCGTAATGGTCCATAATACTCAAAATATACAGGCACCTCCTAAACTAGGTTTCTTAGGTCCAATTTTATCAGCAAAAACAACCTCTAAAGGTTCTTAGGTCTTAAACCCATTTAGTCGGTTTGCTGGAATAACCTTGCTTTTATCTTGGCTACAAGCATTCCAGTTTAAATACTCCCTCTGACAATTCAACAGTTGGTTTCAACATTTTGAAATTAATGTGCCCTAAACGTCTATGTAGTAAGTGTATACATTCATCATGTGGCTTAACATTGTTATAAACTGAGTTATCCATCTTCAACTGGTCATCATGTATCACATATAAATCATTCTCTAAATTAGCAGTAACACTTTTACCCTCTTTCTCTATTATACAGTTATCTGCCCTAAAGGTTACTACATAACCAATATTAACTAAATCCCTTACTGATAATAAATTAAATTTCAGTTTAGGTACATATAACATAGATAAATGTTCATTTATACAAGAACAATATGCAGTACCTTGACCAGACGCTTTCATCTTCCATCCATTTGCCAATGATACATGTTGCTTACTTGTAGACATCTTTACAAACCCTTTTTTATCTTTAGTAATGCATTGCGATGCTCCACTATCAACAACCCACAAATCATGGTTTACAGTTGAATTGCTAGACATAGCTAAACTAACATTCTTTTTGGCCTTCTGGTGTTTACTAGTATTCTGTCTTTTTCCTTTCTTACAGAATCTAGCTATATGTCCCCTAGCCCCACAAGCAAAACATTTCCTAACAGTATAGGCAGTTGAACACAAATCCTCTTCTTGTGGTTGTTCCTTCCTCAGTTGGACCCTATCCAGCCGTCGTCTTGCTTCTTCTAATAACCTTCCAGTTATGTCAGTCAATGTCAGTTTATCTCTGGTCAGGACTTCCAGTGAAGATACGTAATCATCATAACTTTCATCCAATGAGGAAAGAATGATGTAAACTTGATGCAGCTGTGAAAATATTAATTCCTTTTCATGTGGCTCTTGAAAAGTTCTTTTCATGAAGTTCAAATGAGCTAACATATCTCCACCTTTCAGAAGACGTGCTCTAAACAGTTTACGTGTAAGATGTATGTGTGCACCTACACTGTCATGAACTTAAATCCTCTTCAAATTCTCCCAACGCCTAGCAGCAGACTCTTCTCCACGAATATGGACTAGCTGCTGGTCACTCAGTGTTAGTCCAATTATACAAAGAGCTCGTTCGTTATTCTGTTTAAAGTCAGCAAGCTTCTTGGCATCGTCCTCATTATCTGGATCCCAAGCATTTACATCTGGTGGATCTTGAACTACACTTCATAAACCTTCTCTATGCAGAAGTAGACTGCACTTCACAGACCAGGAAACATAGTTTGTTCCATCCAACTGGGTTATCAGTGATAGACTTGTTGAAGTGTCTTGTGCCATCTTTACCAGGACAGTAACCCACAATTAAACAGTAAACAGCTGTCTGTATACAGTACTGTGCATACTCTCAGTTATCTAACTCTCAGTTATCTAACTCTCAGTTATCTAAGCCTGGTATGGCCTGGGCCCATAACCAGTGTTGAGGTAATTCCCCGTTAGGAGAATGAGTGCATACAGGGAGACACATTTGAGAGAAGTGTTTGAATAATACACACACAACACACAGATACACTGTACAGTAAATGTAGGTTTTTACTTCCAGAAAGGTTTAAGCAAAGTTCAGAATAGGCAGTCCAAAGTCATTCACAGCTAAATCTATCAGTTTTTTCAATCCAGGGATAATCCAAATATCAAAGTCCAGTGTCAAAAAACAGTTCAGTATCAGACTTACATCAAATCCAGGAATATCAGTCAATTAGGAAAAATGGGAATACTCTCCAACAGAAGGAAACAGAGACTTACTCACACTCTCTTCTGAGACTAAAGCTAAGACAAACCAGGTTTCTGGCTCCACCTGAGAAACCACATCTAATTACAGTTTTTCATTTTCTTAAAGATACAGTTTTAAAAAGTTTATCCTGGTTTATATATTTCTAACCCAAATAGCTGTTAGGTGACTCATATTCCTAACAGATAGCAAGATGCATATAATTCCAGGTGATTAACCACTTGGCTTAGGAACAGTGCTATATGGTCTGGGTTACTGTGGTGGTCTGGCACTTGAAATGAGATGCAGGGAAACATCTGAGCAAATGCCAGCCCCGAGAGCACTCGGGTAGCAGTATTTATTTAAGAAAATGCAAGTACAAAATCAAAACAATGACCTCAACCTCAGCAGGGTGATAAAGTCTCGTGAGAATCTCCAGGCACCAAAGGTCTCATGGGAATGGCTCGGCTGGGTACTGTGAACTTTGACCGATATACCTGGTCTCTCTAAGCTTTGCAGACCCAAACAGGACCAAATGTCCATCATAGAAGCACTACTGCCCCCATGAGGAGCGTTTGTGAAGTCCCCAGATCTTATGCAAAGCTATACGAGGACTTGCAGAATATGATGATTATGATATAGTACCACATTCCCTCCTTTTTTATTTATTCAAAGATAGGGGGTGTTTTAGTGGCATAATACACAGTTCCCTCGCAACTTGGTTTCGTACGCTTAAAGCTGAGGTACACATTTGAAATAGATTAGGAATACATTGAATACAGCAACATAACATAATAAGTATAATAACAATTATTACAACTAATTGAAGCAATAAACGTAACCATGAGCTGTCAGGAAGCCAATCACATAGCAAAGCCCAAAGTGACTTATTGAAGCCATCTTTTCCTGCTTCGTGTTCAGCTATGCGGTCTTCCATATCATGAACAGTTCTTGTAATGTTAGGCTCATAATTATGTATAAAAGCACAACAATGTGAATGAATTAAGGCACAAACTCCTCCTTTGGCAGCTAACATTATATCTAAAGCATAACGATTTTGTAAAGTAACTTGGCGAATTTCAGACACTTCTTCATTTAACATCTTAATATTCTTAACAGTATCATTAAACATAGCAACAGTAAAATTATTTAAAATATGAATATCTCTATAGTTCATAGCTATTCCCAAAGGTGGGAATGAGAGTCTGTGTAAGGTAACTTAGGCAACTCCAATTGACACCAATATTGTCCATAGTCTGAAACAGAAACATTAAACAGGATCAGAGTTGTAGCACAGGCTGAAGATATAATATCCTTATCAGGTCCCGAGTAAAGAATGTCTTGACCCTTATGCCAGGACCAATATGCTGGAAAAATCAAAAGATGCCGCTGTTTGCAGATTAATTTAGTCCGATTCCCCAAAGGAACCTGCTGCATACAAGTTGATAACCTCAGATAAGCAGTCATCTTTTCCCAGCCTTCACAGCGCCACGCCTGGACTGCCAGCATCAAGAGAATCAGGAACCACAGGAACGCCATCCTGAGAATCAGGAACCTCAGGAACGCCATCCTGCTCCTCCGAAACCTCCTTCACTGGCACCTGCGAAGACGCCTGCGAATGATCAGGCCGAATACATCGACCAGGAACCCAACGAATTTGACCAAGATGTTCTACGTCCCCACGTCCCCATGTAATCAGCTCAGCGGGAACCCATGCCGGATCCGGAAGGAACCGCACCAACACTCGAGGCCTCACTGCATCTGTAGAAGGAGAAGAAAAATGCCTGCTGGCCGCACTCGCAGGGGGGTTACCAGACAAATTTAAAAAATTTAAAGTATACAAAGCAAGATTTAAATGATCTTGAATTGCCGGAAGCCCCAGGAGCTTCCCTCCTTTTTTATTTAATTTAGCTAACATGTTCTTGAGCGTGCCATTATAACGCTCCACAATAGCTTGTCCTGTGGAATTGTATGGAATTCCAAATTTATGTTCCACGGACCACTGTTTGCAAAACTGATCAAAGACTGTGCTCCGATAAGCCGCACCATTGTCTGTTTTTAAGGTTTGAGGCGTACCAGCAACTGAAAATGTCTTAATGCAATGATTGATGACATGTTTAACCGCTTCACCTCTTTGAGGAGTAGCCATTAGAAATCCTGAGTAAGTATCCACCGTCACATGTATATACTTCCAGGGTGCAAATGATGGATATTGAGTAACATCCATTTGCCAAATCATTGAAGGTTTCAACCCCCTGGGGTTGACTCCCATAGGAATAGCCGTGCCTTGCTTTGAACAAGTTGGACATTGTTGAATTATGGCAGCAGCTTCTGCAGCAGTAAGCTTGAATTGATGTGCCAACGCTTTAGCATTTTGATGAAAATAACTATGGCTGTCCCATGGCTGGACAGTGAGAACTGAAGTTACAGCACTGTCAGCTTTGGCATTGCCTTGTGATAAAATTCCAGGCAAATTACTATGACTACGAATATGGGCAACAAAACACACATTCACACGCTGCTCCAAACATCCTTGCAATAACAAAAGCAAACGTAGAATATTGGGTGATATTCCAGGAGACAAATAAGAACCTGCTACAAAGGGTAACAAATTATATACATACAAAGAATCCACTATTAGATTAAAATCCTGATTTTGAAAATTTTGAAAAGCCAAAACTACAGCAGCAAGTTCTGCCTGCTGGGCAGACTTCTGCTCTGATGTCACTTTTGTATGCCAAATTCCAAATTTATCTTTCCAAACACAAGCACCAAACAAAAAAAAATTTTTTTCCTCCATCAGTAAAGACTGTAGGAGCATCTGATATACTGATTACTGATTTAGGTCACACCCTGTCCCAATAATCTCTTTTTTTGCTGACTTTGACCCCCCCCCAGGAGCCCGACATTGCGCTTTAAAATGTCCAGGCTTCCCACAATTGAAAAAAGTTTCTTTTTTAGCATTTCCTGCCTGCAGAGCCAGAGCTAAAGTCTCCATGTTAAAAGTCTGACTCCCCACCTTTCTACATGCGTTTATCAAATCAGCGATCTCTCGCTCTCCGCTCGCGATAAGTGGATTCAGGATCTTTTTACAATCTGCGTTAGCCTGTTCTACTGCTAACTTCAAAAGCAATTCGTTCCGGGCAAATTGATTATCAATTTGCCTTTCAATAGCCACTTTCAATCTGCTAATGAAATTTTCATAGGGTTCATTGTTCCCTTGTTTGATGTTAGTAAAGGTCTTCTCACCACCTTCGCCGTCAGGGAGAGCCCGTATGGCTTGGAAAATTAACTGTGGGAGAAGAACGAACCCCTCCTCTGGCATTCCATCTCGCTGTAGTTCCACTGTTGTAAAATTACCAGCTCCATAAAGCTGATCTGGAGTAACATTTGCTGTTCCCCTTTGAACTGCCAGCTGTCTCCATTTCTGATCTAACACCAAATATTGAGCTGGAGTTAGAATCATATTAAATAGAGCTCTCCAGTCAGCCGAAATCATTTTATTTCCATAGCCAACTGCTTCTAACAATGCCTGAGTATATGGCGATCTAACACCATACTCTTTTGCTGCTTGCTTAACTTCCTTTAAAATCTTGAGAGGTAAAGGCTTCCACACTCTCTGCGGATTTAAAGCAACGTCCACACCAATTTCTACTGGATTAAGTTGAATCTCCACTCCAAATTCTACCAAATCATCTCCTGATAATTCCCCTCTATCTGTTGCTTCTTGAATAGCTGCAGTAACTGCATCTACTTGAACTCTTAAAGGCAAACTCTTATCTTCTGACAAAGTATTTTCAGTGCCTGACAGTCCTCTGGATTTATCTGGAGGTGCTGTCGGTGGCAATAACGTACCGCATGGTAAGGCGGCAAACCTTCTTCGGGGGGTGCTAGGAGCGGTTGTTCATGAGTAGCTAACGCTTCCATAAGCACCCTCCAGGTTAACAAAATTGAAGAAGGGGCACGAGGCTCCTCGTGCAAAAATTTCCCTATCTTTTTCCAGGACTCTACTTTAATACTACCTCCCTCTGGATAACACGGAATATGTTTCCAAACATACTGTAATAAGTCCTCAATTTCTTTCTTTCCTACTGCATGTCCTCTACTATGAACTCCAAACTTAAAACTATTCCCAGTGATCTCTCTCAATTCCCTGAGATGCTTTGTCTGAGCCTTCGAGAGACCTCCCCCCATACTCACGAAAAGAATCTATCTCCGTCCAGCGAAGAAGATGAGGGCCCAGTCGACGTCCGCGACGATGAGTATAGGATGCAGGAAACGTATAGCTTTCAAGCTATCACGCCGAAACGTATAGCCTTCCAAACTATCACGTCGGGGTCACCACTTGTGGTGGTCTGGCACTTGAAATGAGACGCAGGGAAACGTCTGAGCAAATGCCAGCCCCGAGAGCACTCGGGTAGCAGTATTTATTTAAGAAAATGCAAGTACAAAATCAAAACAATGACCTCAACCTCAGCAGGGTGATAAAGTCCCGTGAGAATCTCCAGGCACCAAAGGTCTCATGGGAATGGCTCGGCTGGGTACTGTGAACTTTGACCGATATACCTGGTCTCTCTAAGCTTTGCAGACCCAAACAGGACCAAACGTCCATCATAGAAGCACTACTGCCCCCATGAGGAGCGTTTGTGAAGTCCCCAGATTTTATGCAAAGCTATACGAGGACTTGCAGAATATGATGATTATGATATATTACCACAGGTTACCATCAAACATAGTTTGTAAGGGGGGTGGTCCCCACACCATATGTTGTGGCCACTGTCC